TGATAAGAAAAAAAATTATAATTTTATAGTTTCAATCAGTAATTATAAGTCTTAGGCAACATTAAAAATTACCACAATAAATCTACTATATCTTTTAGTTTCTTTTAATTTTCTTTACAAAAACCTTTATATTTATTTAAAATGACATAAATATAGACATTTTAAAGAAGATATAAATAAGCCTATCATGTATTATTAATTATTTATTAGATATTTTATGAGAAAAAATCATATATATATATATATTAAAAAAAACTTTTTGATGAAACATTGAATGTTGAAAAAAAATTCTTGAACTTTTCTTAAATTAAATTTAAATAAAATAAATATCCTTGTCAAATGGACAAGTGTCAAAAAGTATCATAATCTTGACAATGCTAATAATTTTTAAAAATACCATAATTTGTAATTCTAATTATTCAAAAAATCACTATACAATGCATTAATAGAGGGACATAAATTCCCTTTTCTCCATTAGAGTTGTTAGTGTAAAACTACATCACATTATGGGAGCCTATCTTTCCGCTAGCCAAACCTATGCTTGTAGTGGCAGAGCAAAAGGCACCTAACCCTATTAATATATAACAAACGTGTTATTCTTCCAGGTAATGAGAATATGGTGCTGGAGCTCTTCAAAGAAGAAGCCAGAATATTTCTCTCGATATGCTAACATTTAAATATTATACATGTTCTTCTGCAACTATAACTCATGTTTCTTTAAACGTTACTGTAACACTACCCTTTACTTTGTATTTACTGCTGGTTTTTGAAGGCAAAGAGAAAAGAAAAGGGTGACTATTTTTAAGATATTATTTTCATAATTAAATTTTTAAAAAATTACTGTAATAAATCTGATGTTCTCTCTTCTAATTTGTTTTTGCATTTTTTTAATAAATTTAATTTCATTTAATATTCAAATTAATTCAAAAAAATCAAATATAGAAAATAATTTAACATTGTAAATAAAATAGATTTAACAATGTATCAATTCAAATTCAATTGAGAGAGTTTCAAAAAGTCTATAACAACTACAAACAAATAATTATATCTAGTTTCTAAAAGAGAATTACAATGTATGTTTCCAATAAATTCTCATATAAATTGTTAGAATTAATTCTTATGGTTTGTATTAATTATTTTATATGATTTAACATGATGTAGATTATTGGGGTGAGTAAAAAAAATAAAAAAACTAATTAAACCAAGAAAAC